AGCATAGACTCACAGAGGGTAAATTGATAATGTGATGAAAGCCCCAAAACAAAGCATAGCCTCCTATTCTTTTATTATTACTAATGCATAATTCAATTTAACCATAAACACTGCTTGTACCAGCTGCATATATATTTTCAAGCAACCCCCGAGAAAAGGTGATGATTAAAAAAGAAGCGTATTTTATGACTATTGCCTTTATAATTTCGGTTAATTTACGGGCAAATGGTTATTTTACCTTGTTTATAATGGATGATCACTTTTTTGAACGAGTTGAATGCTTCATAAGCTCGCATTTTCGAAATGAACAAAAAAAGACCTGAAAGAACTTGTTTGGTTAGTATGCATAACACTCTGCATACAGAAAAATAATGCCTTTTAAGGTAAAGATGACATGTAGTATACACTGGAGTTGATCCTGCATACAAAGAGAAGGGGGTGAGAGTTTCGTCTACCATGACTAAAACAGGCTCAACAAGAGAACACACTCACCTTCATGCCTTTTTAGTAAAGGCACGGACCTATTTTTCCTAATTTATACTGCCTTGAGCTACAGTGCTAATGGAATACTGCTCTGAAAAATTCTTAGTATCTCAATATGAACAAACGTCCAAAGTCTAGTGCGTAAATGTATTTTTTCTTCAAAAGTATGAAAAGTAGTTTTTAACATCTTTTCCACGACAGTTTATTAATGCAGGCTAAAGTGGATTTGTTCTTCCGTTCAGAAATCAAATTAATGATAAGCTTAAGAATGCCAATAGGCAATATGCTAACATAAAAAGCAAAGATCAAGTTGAGACTGACTATTGTGTAAGCATATTCGCCCAAAACCCTATTGGACAAACCAAAGCAATTCTGCCTACTAATAACAAGGTACTCGGGACAAAAACAAATTCTCAAGCAGAATATATCTACAAAGCTGTGCCATAACGATGAAATAAGAGCTTTCAGCAACGAAAAGAAATATGAATAAAAAGAAGAGACACGAAGACGCGTCAGCCTTAAGTGTCGGATATTAGAATCGACGTCATTCGCCTGATTTTAGCTGGCCGGGTACAGTGTCTAAAATTTGTTAGGACGCTCTTATTTCTGCATAAGCCAATTTTTCTTTTTTTTTAAAAAATATATATTAATAACCATGGGGCCTGAACAACAACAACAACAGCAGCAGCAGCAACAGCAGCAACAACAGCAACAAGCTGTGCCTTCAGTGTCAGAACAACAGTCTAGAGTAATTGCACCCCAAGGGTTAATGAATCCTGCCATGACATCACAACCTCGGCCTCCAGCAGCAGGAGGTAATATTAACAGGAAAGTAAAGATCAGCGTACTAAAAGTCATCTCAAACAGGATCATCTTCCATGACTTTATTTGATAACCTTACCTCGCAGTTAACACCAGAAAGAAAAGAAAGATTTATTGAATTATTCAAGAAGCTACAAGTAAATGAGTGAACAGACCCTATTTGCATTTGATTAACGCCTCTTCATTTGCAGAGCAATTCAGTTACTGCAAATCAATTCCTAGCACAGGCAAGATTATTGCTGGATCAGCAACAGTATCAGCAGCTCGAAAACTTGAAGAACAAGCCAGTACAACCCATGATGCCAAGGCCGGTATCTATACAACCGCAAACATCGCAACAACAACAGCAGCAGCAACAGCAGCAACAGCAACAATTGGACTATAATGCTCTTAAACGAACAATGAGTGGCTCACAGTTACGATCTGAGGATACTCATCAACGAGCAATTCTGTAATGTCATTCTGACTAGCATTGTTGTAACTTAAGCTAACTAAATCTTGTCATAGTCAACCACAGCTGAAAAGAGCTGATATACCCATCCAACAGCAACAGCAACAACAACAACCAGTACCCATCTATAGATCAAATACAGCTCCACCATCTACAATGGATCATCAGCATATGGGAATGCAGCCTGATACTATTGATCCAGCAATAAAGAACGAAACGGATGGAGAGCAAATTTCAATTGTGCAAGATTTTATGAACCTGGATATTTTGAAAGGCTTAATAGCAAAAATATGTAGGAAATGATAAGCTGCTATTCGTAAAAGTATTACTAACTCAAGTATGCTCAGCTGCATCTTTAGATACTGTCAATGTACAGCCTGAAGTCTATTCAATGATTGCTTTGGCCACACAAGAGCGCATACAGAAGCTGATAAAGGACATGATTGAAGCATCAAAATACAGAATGGATTCACAAACATTTACACAGCCACCGCCAGACGAAGCCGGTCGTTACCCATATAAAATCGTAGACGTACAGGATATTAAAAAGCAACTTTTGGCTATTGAAAGAGTAGAGCGTGAGGAAGAAAGACGAAGAAGAGAGTATATTTCTGAAAGAGAACGAAGGTCACAAATGGGTGACGATGATAAAGAAGGAGGAGATGATGACAAGCCAAAGAAGAAAAAGAAGAAGGATCAAGGTGGCGTTAGTGCAAGATATATGAGTGATGATGTGCGTAATAAGAGCACAAACGAAACAGCCCTGATGATTGCAGGCGGTGTAAAGAAGAGTTGGATGTTGACAGGTTTAGCTGGAGGGACAAAAGATATGCCTCCATTTACTCCTTCAAAGCCTCCAGCTTCATCACCACCTAATAATCTACCCCCTTCTTCAACATCAGCAACGCCTACAAACGCTCCATCACCAACAGGTGGACAAATTCAGAGTCCAACTTTGTTTCAGCATCCTACAACTAGTAGTCCAATGTCACCTCAGGATGCAGATGATCAACCAAGGGGAAGAGGCAGACCAAAAAGACGAAAATCAGGCTCAGGCCCTGATATGCCAGCAGTAAAAAAATCAAAAGCATTTAGAGATGGTCTCTTTTTGCCTCCTTCGACTATTGGCCGACCTCAACATCGTTTCTTTGGCGAACAAGGAGTAAGAAAGGTGACAGTTCGAGATGCACTATTTGTATTAGAGGATGAATATGAAAACAAAAAGGAATATGCACCGCGTACTTTACTTAAAACATACACTTGCTATTTGAAGTAAAATGAAAATATTTATTCTACCTGCTTTCGCATTGATTGTAAAAAAGAGGCTACACTTTCTTCATTAATATCAGGCATGCTAACATTGTTTGGTTCTTGTTTCAGAGGATGCTGCTTTCTAGCTTGTAAAGCAGCTTTTCTAGCACGGATTTTTTCTGCATTTCTTGCCATCATTTGCTGTCGTTTAGCGGCTGCAGATATGGCTGATTTACGTGCGTTTTCTGTTTCTTGTCGAAGTTTATTCAGTTTAGCCATCTGTTCTTCACGCTCCTCTTCATCTTTTGAGAATCTATAAAAGCCAACACCCTTTGTTCTAATTTCCGCATCTGCATCGTAATGATTAATATGTGATATATCTGCAAGCTCATCGCCAATTTCATAATCATATCGTGGTATATAGTCATCTTCTTTAGATTTGGGTTTTTCTTCAGGTAATAATTTTGGTAACTGACTTTGGCGTACTGTTCGAGTTCTACCAAACTCATCCTCATATTCCACCCAGGGATCATCCACATCTTCTGCCTCTTTCTCTTGTCGTCTCTTTTTTAATTTTCTCTCTGTTTCTTCTCGTATTTCCTCTAATTGACGCTAATCATGACATATGGAAACTTAGTTCAATATTACAAAAACATGAATTCATAAAATGATATTTTTACTTCCTGTAAATACTTCTTGTCGAAATCAATAAGCGGTGCCTTTTCGTCGTCGTCATATTCACTATATTCTTGCTGTATATGTCCTGATCGCATGGCTTCATAGATCTTGGCCTTTTTTTCTAATTGTTCTCTACTTCTTGCCAGCACATTACTCTCAACTTCTTCAATGTATTTGTCTTTGGCATTTCTTGCATCAACGCCTTTGTTTTGCTTTGTCCAAACTGTCTTTTTTTGTTCTGGTCTTTTCGCTGCGCTAAGCTTTCCTTCACTTGCTCTCGTCTTTTCGAATCTCTCAGTTTGCTGAGCCAATTCAGCTTTTAAATCGATGGCCTAGAAAGATGAATGAGTATCTTGTGTATAATGTCGAAATGAAGCTTCTTCTTACAGTAGTAGCGCTGACATTACTGATTTCTTTTTTATTGGACATTTTACTCTTAGAAGAAAAAAAAAAATACGAAGTGGCTGTAATCTTTATGCAAACAATAGTTTACAACACCGCACCTTTTTCCATTGCTTATGGATCCAAGAAGAAGCTGACGTATTTCACTATAAGATGTCGTATTTTGTATATTTTGTATTATAAATGATTGAACTATGTGTGGTATTTGCTTTAGAAAGAACTGTATTAAAGCAGCCTTTTTATTAATAAGGCTCCTTTTTGCTAAAATGATACGTATAGTTCATCTCTTGCATCATCATTGTACATGATTATCTAATATTTACTTACCATGTGACCATCCTTAATTCCAGGGACATCTGCCGATTTTTCGGCTGGTAAGTTATTCTAGTTCAATGGTCCATGTTACAAAAAAGGGACCGTGACACAGATTTCCTAAGTTTCCGTTGATTGTGCGGGGGATTGAATACAAAGGTAAAACCTCTTCCAATCATGGTTCCACGCATTTGTCATACGAAAAAATTTCACTCTGACTTATAAAATAACCCCCCTCCTTGGACTCGCCCTTTTTTTTTTCTCTTTCTCCCAGAAATGCCTTCCATTGTACCCTTCTTTACGGGAGCAAAGCAGCTTACAATTGATCTAGCAGAACCTGTCATTTATCTTAGAGGCACTGCACATGATCGTTCGACACAAGTACTTCAAGGGGAAGTTAGCGTTGTCTTGACTAAACCAACACTTGCATCACAAGTTGTCATTCGATTTGTTGGAAAATCATATATGTTATGGCCGGAAGGTAAAATTAAAGATAATATAAAGACAATATACTAATAGAATACACACATATAGGCATTGGATCAAGAGGTTCTAAAGTATATCATGAAAAGATCATTCATGAACAAAACGTCATTTTACAATCATTCCCTGAAAATCCTAAATCAGAAGGTGTTCTAGACGCTGGCCTTCACCGCTGGCCTTTTCAATTTTTAATCTCCAATCAGCTGGTAGAGACCATCGAAGATGAACTCGGCAAGGTCTTTTATTATTTGACAGCCACTATTCATCGAGTAGGCGTGGCTGCAACTAAGCTTCGAGCTAGACGAGATATTCTTCTCTTGCGTACACCACATTGGTCTGATGCTGCACTCACAGCCAACTCGCTTCCATCCACCTCAATCACGTCCGAACGAAGATTAGACGTCTGCGATGCGTCCATCTGTATTGAAAAATCCAGTTGCTCATCCGGTACTCAATTCCCCATCAGCATCTCCATTTCACCCAATATCAAACATGTCTGTATTGAATCCATTTCGGTTCTCTTGACCGAAAAGCGAGTCTATAAACTGCCCGAGTTCCAGGCCCGTCGTGTCGAATTACATGATTTCAAGGTGACACTATCCTCAGTCACGAGCTTGATCGATCCAACACTGACACATGGCATCGTTTCTCAGCTGTCATTGAAGGAAATTCATCGAGCATTAGGCGTGAAGAACGCACATATCTCTTTGGATGATGGACCTTTTCAGAATCGACTGATCTTTACCTTGCCATCCTGCGTTCATCTCAGTCATGATTCGACTTATAGTGAGATTCATATCAGCCATACACTCAAGATCCATATAGAACTTACTTCCCCTGCCTTTGATGGTCAAGACACTGCACGTACCCATATTAGATTAGATACGCCTATTACTATCCTTGACTGTAGACTAAAAGAAGATTATAATACCCTACCAACCTATGAAGAAGCCGTTTTATCCCCCTTGATTGATGAAGAAGACGAACCTTGTAAACCATCAGGATTCTTCATCTGCCCCTGTTATCTTGAATATAAAAAGAAGAGCAAATGTAGCAAAAGGGACTGGATGAAGCTCAGGAGTGAACAACATGAGACTTCCGATGTATATTACCATCAATATGATAACTCGACTCCACCTCCATCTTATGAAGACATTGAATATAAGCGATAATCACATACACATTTACATATTATACACACATCTACATATTATATACACCTTGTATTAATTGCATTATAAAAATTATTGCCTACACTTTATACTTAATAAAATGACATGATATAATACTGAAACAGAATTTGCAAGCATGTGCTTCTAAAGCGATGTACTAAATATGATGTTGAGAGAGGTGAAGAGTATAAATGTTTGTAAAAAAGAAACCTTAGCGCCTTTCTATTTAAAGGTCCAATTTATACTAAAGTATTAAGAAATGAAGGGTTGCAATATGAACATGTAGATATGGTTGAAAAGCTGAAGATATCAACAGAAACTTTGCAAAATGTAAGACCTAATGCAGTTAACAATTCTTGGAAATTTCAAGTAGAAGAGCTTTATAAAGAAGTTGCGTTAAGTAGTAACTATGAAGAGCAATTTGTATCAAATATTCGAAAAAGCAGTATTTTTCGAGGGGTATTTAGGTAAAACGGATCAAATCAGCCTTGGTTTCAATAACAGCAGGTGTGCTGATTGTCTTTCCAGCTACATATTCAGCAAGACCTTCACCTGAATAAGAGACCCAAGGAGAAATCTCGAACTCCAGCTTTTCGAAATCACCATCGTGCACGACTTTTCCGCCAGCAGATTCAATAAAGCGCACGTGTTGTGCAACAATATCTCTTCGGGAAGTTTCAGGACAGTCTGCGCCTGATCCAGGAGCATTCTTTAAGGGAGAGAACTCTTCTTTACGATCGACTTCGAGCACACTGAAATGTTGAGCATAAGGGAATACATCAAAAACAAAGCATTCGAGCTTCATGCCACTATTAGACTTGGGCACGACAACTTCACCTGTTTCCAAATCGACATACTTGATCTTCTTCTTGGCAATGTGGTATTCGAGTTGATCGGCAAAGGTAGGCACACGTTCCAAAAATTCAGTTGAGAAAAAGTGATTGGCAATATTGGCTGCGCCAAAGGCAAGTGAGCCATCATCTCTGCGCTTTTCAGAGATCTCTTGTGAGATTTCGGAATACTCGACAACACCATACTTGCCGTCACGGACACAGACAACACCCACAGGTTCCTCAGGGGCGGCCTTGCTGACGACCTTGACACCACAGTCGGTTCCCTTTGAAACGGAGTAGCCGATAAAGACAGGGTCGGCAACACGGGCCAAACAGTTATCGACACAGTAACAGTGAGAGTAGAGAATGCCACGTTCCTTTAATGAGTTGATGACACCTCTATTGACAACAGCAGCATAGATACCTCCGTTACCATCAGGGGCAATAGCCACCTTTTATTTTCAAAAATAAAGTTAGAAATAAGGTTCAGCCCATCTGCGTCAACGAAGAGTCTTACCTTGTCCTTTGCCTCCAAGATGATCTTACCGTCCATTGTTAAGCAAGGAAGAGTGCCTAAATAAAAATTTAATCACAGATATAAAAAAAAAAGAACTGATCTTTCTTACCTTGTTCGAAAAAGATGACGTTTTCCTTCTTGAGGCCAAAGTAGTTGTGTTGTTCAAAGAAATTGACTGTAGGTTGATGAGTAGGTCCTGAGGTCATGATGTACCAAGGAATGATGCATTCAGCACCAGGTTTGGTGTATTGACGAGCAATCTCTTGCAAACGAAGAATACGTTCAGCTTGAAGCTGGAACAAGGACTTTTGGGAAGGCAAGTTGATATTGTAGCATCCCTTAGGATCGGATGAACCCAAACGAGTACCTTGACCACCAGCCATCAAAATGACAGCGACCTTACCTTGGGCAATTTGTGTTAAACCGATCGTTTCCCATTCACGAAGCTGTTCAGGAGTAGCCTTGAGGACAGAATCAAAGATGGCTTCAGGTAATGGTTCAAGTGCGGCACCTTGACTGAGAAGAGCGGCTTCAGCACCTTCAATGGCCTTGCGATAAATGTTATTTAATCGTTCAACATCAAGCTCAAGCAGTTGTTGGATCAATTTAGCTTGTTGCTCGACTTCAAGAGTGTCAAAGAATTGAAATACATGGCCTTGACCAGCTGAATCGTAACGTTCTTTTAATGCTTGAAGTTCAATTTCGTTAACAGGAAGAAGTGAAGAGATGGTCATTGTGAAGTGATGAAGAAGAGAAAAGAACGAAATATCAACCACTTCATTTTTATTTATAAACTAATTTGGTATCCCATAAATAAATAAAGTCGGTATTTAAATATATTTTTGTACACAGCAGAGCCCATCCGCGGAAAGAAAAGGGCAGTGAGTGCAGTGAATGCAGTTTAATAATAAAAAATTTTTGTTTGTGCTACACGAATTCTATTTTTGTTTATTTACTAAAATTAAACCTTGAGCATAAATTTAGGAGAGATCCATTCATCCCAGTCATGCTTATTCTTTTTATCACCAAACACCTTCAAGGCTCTTATCTTTAACTGATAAATGCCCGACTTTACTTGAGATTTCTCATGCTCATTTGTATCTTTGAGGGTTGCATCCTTTGGAATGTAGTTTCCATTCCACTGCCAGGAATAGTATGGATATGATGACTCTGTAAATGTTAATGTATTTCTTTGTAACCAGGTTCGATGAGGGCCAACACTGTCATCAAAGGGGACATCACCTATCACCTTATTGTTCTTGATGACTTGAATCTGAAGTAGAGGAGTACCTGTCAAGAGTCGAGCCACAACGAACGGTCCACCCGTGGTTTGATTTCCTTGTTTCCGTAACGTAAAGTGGCCTAGTTTACCCTTCTCGACAGTTGCATTACCCGAAGGATAACCAATGGCAGGGAATGGAAAACCAAAGGAATTATGAGCTGAGAGATGATCAAGAATAGGCAAGTCCTTCATGTTGCCAATCATGCCAAGATAAGGAACGCTTGCCTCAATTCCTCCTTTGGCACTTGCGATGATGTATCCACCATAGATAGCATGTGTCGATTCCGAAAACGTATCCGTCGGCGGTTCAAGTTGCACCGTGATGCTTGCAGATTGGCCAGGAGGAATGGTCAGCGTTCTCTTGGAAAAATGAATAGCTGAGACAGAATGGTTTCTGGAATATAAACCCACGGGCTCAGAAGGTGTGTCATTACTTTTAGCGGAATAACCTGTGGCTGTAAGAGAAGGCTGATGGCTCAGTTCGATGACCAATGCGTGCAGGTCATGATTGTAAAACGTAATCGTCTGACGCTGCTTAAAGTGGGCCGAATCGTTGAAGCTCAGGTACGTTGGTAAAGCATGAAAGAGCCCAAGTCCTCGCGTGGCCTGTGCAACGTCAACCACTCCTGCTCCTTGCCGAATAGGAGAATCACCATACTGCAAGTCGGAGATCGGTGGCCTTACTATAATAGTTTTAATAAGAAAACGTGAACGGGTACTCGTGTGAGCTTACCTTGAGTAGCAAAATTCATCAAGATATTTTTAGTCTCCTTGGGTGATAACTTCTTCTTTTCTAGTAATAAGGCTACTTGTCCCGACACAAAAGGTGCAGCCATTGAAGATCCAGAGAGAAAGCCATAAGATTTCTTGTACTGCGGAAAGGTTGAAAAGACATTTCCACCTACTCCCATGATCTCTGGTTTGAGTTCGAGTTCGTTTGTGGGCCCTAGAGTAGAGAATCCAGACATTTGGTGAAGAATATCGTTTGAGGGGGCAGACAGGGCCACAAGGGTGTTGGTGAATTGCGCTTTGACTTTCTTTTCCTGGTCAAGTACAGAAAAGATACGATAACCTTCGTCATTGTTAATAAATGCTAATGGAAGCACTGATGATGTCAGTACTTGAACTTCAGTCGTAGCATTGACCGTGTCTGAATAGAAAATGACAGCTTCAGCACCTGCTTGTTTTGCATGCTTGATTTGGTCGAGTGGGCTACAGCCGCCCAGATGAATAAGGAGTATACTATCTCTAAACCTGTTGCTGTCTTTCAATGGCCTGCATGCATCCTGTTTTTTGTTGAACTGGGTACTAGCAGATGCAATAGGCAGTTTCTTATTTAACTTGAGAGCTGAATTTACATATGTGCGATACGCTAATCAGATTGGTTAAGAACGTGGATAAAATTTATGCAACAAATACTTACAGATAGATAGAGTTTGCTTTGCGTACACTTTTAACACGTATCCAGGGACATACTCGTTCTGGATAGATCCCACAGAAATGACATCTTTGCCTGTTGCAGGAGAACTAGGCAGGAATATACCAGAAGATCCAATATTACCATTGGCGGCAATAACTGAACAATAATGAAATAGATGAGCACATAGCTTTTTTTTTTTTTCCTTTTTTTTTTTTTAGTTTACCATGTACGCCTTTGGAAACAATGCTACTAGCCACTCGTGACAAGACTGTCTCTTCCCAGCCTCCAAAGGAACCCAGCGAAAGATTGATGACGTCCATACCAGCCTTATAAGCCATATCCATCGCTTTGATCAGAATATCGTCAGGCACTATGGCATAGTTACAGGAATAAACTCTATTCAGTAACACACAAAAGTAAACAAACTTGCTTCTCCTTGCCAATCACTTTGACTTACCTCCACATTCCCAATGTTACACCTGGAGCAACTCCTGTCCAATCCTAAAAATGGATGCATTATGTATGGGCTCATTAACAAAGAGAATTTCCTTACATATTTTTTGTCCTCTGCTGCAATTATGCCAGCAACAAAAGTCCCGTGACCTGTGGCTGAAGCTAAAAACATAACAATGAATTTATGAAACAAATTATGCATCATTCCGTTTTTTACTTGAGTTAGAAGGGCAATCATCCAATGGGTCATCGTCGGGGTGAATAGATTGTATTGTGCCATTAAAGTCGTTTCCAACGAGATCGTAACCATAGGCAACCTTACATCCTTTTCCAAAGCAACCGCCCAAGGCAGGATGGGTATAATCCACACCTATGATAACCAATGTGAGATCACAGTTAGATTGATGTATTCGTTACTTACCAGAATCAATAATACCTACCTTGATTCCAGATCCTGTCAGTTTGAGTCTTTTGTAGGCATAATTTTCTTTTGTCAGTTGTCGAATAGTGTCCTAAGATCAACTCAATAAAAATGGATATAGACAACATGTAAGCTTTACCTTATTCTGAGGTATAAAGGAGGATAATTGTTCATGTTTAATTGCTGCTTGGATATGAGTACGTGACATGATAGGCCAAAAGTTAACAATGTCTGGATGTTGCTGAATGAATCTGTTGGCTGCATCCTTTGATGCAAACTCAAGAGAGACACCATTGAATATATCAGAGTCATACAAATAGCGTAATTTTATATTGTTGTCAAGGTGTTTTTTAACAAAGGAAGATGAAGAGGTCGATAATTCAAAGATGTATCCATATTCTGGTAAAGCGTGGACAAGGGTTAAAGTAAAGAATAATAAAAGCCAAATGATGCTTTGACTTTCATTGTTTGAAAATATTTTCATACTGTTACAAAGAAAAGACAAAAAAATACAAAATGGAAAAAAAGCTTATTTATGGATGTTCTAATAATACCCTTCTAGGGAGTTGTCTGTTTAAAGAAACAAAAGGATATACTTCACAGCTAAATTAACGCTCAGATAGTGGTTCTATGCTCAAAAAAGTTAGAATTCAGAAATCTTAATAAAAAAAAAAAACAGCAGGAAAAGCATCTGGAAATGCCATACCAGCACTTGTTGTTTACGATACCTTTTGTTAGTTTACTTTATATGGCATCATGACCATCTTCTGACATAAGCCAACTTTTTATTGATTGTAAAACTATACTTCAAGATGGACGCCAGATTTAATTAGTTGTTTCTTGGCTCTGAAAATGACGTCCTTTTTAATACGTTGACCTATCCGATAACCACGTTCTTCATCTTACACAATACTTTTTGTGGCATATTAACTTTTTATTCTTGATTCTTTGACATTATGGGCTTGATTCTTTATAGAATACATATCGTTCATGATGATTTTCATTGCGTTGTGTTATTGTGACGATCTCGACCGAAAGGAATCTGAAAGAAATAAATATAGAAACAGAGAAAAGGCAAAGACCGCATCACTATTTATATACATCTAGATGAAATTCGAAGGTTATTAGCATATGATGACAACACGTAAAAACTAAAACGCGGTTATGCGTTTTCAGTTTATTCTAGTCGAGTACACAAATAAGTGAGCCATCATCTTTAATTATTCAAGATGTTACACGAGATTTCTACTACCAATTGTGCCCGCCGTTGAAACCATCCTCGGTTGTTATGCAACTACGACCACGGCACCTATCACACAGGTACTGTAGCAAAGTAATGTCGTCATGGAGATAGGATGATCTTTTTTTTTTTTTTTGAAATAATACAAAAATATCACTTTATGCCTCATATGGAGAAAATTAAGTCTTTAACAGAACTACTTTAAACTAGGCTGAATGACTACTAAGCACAAGGCTTTGCTTTATCTCTCTCTTTCTGTTTTTTTTTTCTCACTCTCTGTCTATCATTTTCTAGTTGTAACAAAATATTGTTTACTATCCTAGTTTGTATGACTAAGGGCTTAGAATATACATTGTATTTAGTATGACTGAAAATACTAAATCATGATGTGATAGAATAGCCAAAATTGAGCTAGTACCGTTTGAATGGCTCGCTGCAATAAGCACTTGATGCACTTGTTTACATTCCCCCTTTTGTCTTAATAATGAATAACAATGCGAGATACAAATTTATATGAATAAAATGATCCCTGCTTAGTCAAATGCAAAAAATTTTATCCCGTGTTACACGGAAGCTGATCAGTGTTTAAAGCTTTCGTACTCATTTCCCTTATTCAACACAAAGCCATTTAAGAGACAGGGACAGGAACAGGGACATGTTTTAAAGTCAAATCACTAATACATGGCTATGACGAGTCCCAAAAAAATGCCACATGTATAAGTGTAGCACATATATTGTTCAATGAATGGTTCTAGCATTGTTTTCAAAAAGTGCAAATCTAAGGGTGCATTGAAAATTCAAGTTTAAAGTATGTACACCACTTTTAAAATACCAATATTCTCTATCTCTTACAAGTATGTAAGGGTGACCGTAGCATAATCATGATCGGAGTAACTTTGCGTAGAATGGGCGAAAACCCTTGATTTTCCAAAAGCAAAAGAAAGTCGACATTTCTACGACTGGAAGGAAAGCCCCTTAATGGAATGGCAACAGTCACATTGCTGATATTGAAATGCGCTATCAACCTCCTCAAATCTATGCTTTTTACATGTCTTCCTTCTCTTCTTGTTATGGGAGCGTTCAAAACAATTCTTCTGAAGTTGAATATGCTCGGCGTATATGGGAACATGATGAAACGGTTTACGATGACTTGAGCCATATAGTCGAATGGATAGGTAATGGAGAAGCATCTAGTCATGCCATTCTTACCTACTATATGGCATACTTTGACTTCAAAAGCGTTAAACTTGAACAAGCTTTCCGTATGCTATGCTCCAAGCTTCACCTCAGAGGAGAAACACAGCAGATTGATCGTATATTATATGCATTTGCAGATAGATATTTTCAATGCAATCCACAATGTATCTTTGGCACAATTGGTAAGAACAGAGAGGAAGAAAAGAGGCTATAGATTGTGTTAATAACTTCTGTCAATAGACACTGTCTACTCCATTATTTATTCACTTTTGCTTTTGAATACTGACCTTCATGTTGTCCAAGGTGATCACAAAAGGATGTCTCGTACTGATTTCATTAAAAACACCATGAATGCTATTCGCACCCAGTCGAATGCCCCTACATATGCCTCAGATAGGCTCCATGACGATCATCTTGCCAGTGGAGTAAGCCTCTATCGTGCACCAAGTACTCACAGTAGTATCAGCTCTCGGTCTTGTATTAATGATAGCAACATTGAGTGTACACCACGCCATGAATCGTATCCACCGCCTGGATCCAAGGCTTGGGATATGGAAATCGTTCATCTCTTAAAGCAGATGTACGTCAATATTCGTAATAACCAGATCAGCGACCCATCTGCTTCAGTCGCAGCTAGCAGTAGTACTAGCCGTATGAGTATAGTTATCAAGCGCAGCGTAGGCACTCTCATGGGGAAGAATAACCAATGTGAAGAAGACCCTATTACTCGTCCTGCAAGTCTTTCATCCACAAATCATTGTCCATCCATTGCCTCCACAAGATCATCTATTTCTACTCAGTATCAAACCATTGCTTCTCATCTTCAGCATACAGAGCTTCCGAATGCATATACCAGTAATGCTCCTTATTACAAGGAAGGAATTGTCATCCGAAAGCATCTATTGGAAAAAGCAAACCAAAAAGCCAAGTACCGTGATTGGAAAGAGTGCTTTATGGTCATTGACCGTAGTGAGATTCGCATGTACAAGTTGGAATCATCGAGTCAGATCCAGAATCAACGTAGACGCAGTACTAATCGCCTTCGCAATTTCACCAGCCGTTCTTCTTCTGTATCTGATTCTGCTTCACAAGTATCTGACTGTAGCATAACCGACGCTGTAGGGGGCGGCGATTGGTTGTCTCGTGCTCAAATGATAGGTAGCATTGACCTTAAGCATGCTCTTGCCAATGTGCTTCCTTCGGGATACAGTCGCCAACGCCAGCATGCCTTTGCTGTTCAGCAAGCGAATGGCGCTGTTCATCTATTCCAAGTTGGTTCTGCAGATCAGATTCACGAATGGGTCTCTACTTGTAATTACTGGGCAGCTCGTGAAAGTAAGGGCCCCTTGGCTAGTGGGGTTAGCTCTATGGAGTATGGATGGGGTCATTGTTTGGATAGAGTGCATGAATCTGTCGTTATCCATGAATGGCAACCACCCAATCCACCAATGATGCATAGTTTGCTTGATGAAACATCACAGTTTAAAGCACTTTGCAAACATGTTGAAGAGTTAAGTACTGAATTAGACGCCCACCGCGACCTTAAGCCGAGAATAGAACATCGTTTTTCAGGCACAAACTCTAAAAGCGGCGCCCGTGCGATGATCAATTGGGAAAACAAGTCTCATTACTTGCTACACGAAATTATCAAATACCAAAACTACTGCGATTCCATTGAAAAGTCACTCGAACTTCAAAAAAAGGTTATGTCCTCTTGATGATGTTTCTCCCCCATTTTTCTCCTTATTATCTGTACCTCATTTACTTTATGTTTATATTAGCCTTCTCCTTGTAAATAACGTTATTTACAATAAACTATTGCTTGTACCATATTTTGTACAGATTATAGTTCATATCAATGTTATATAAATTTGTATACAATGGACTCTCGATTACAGAATATTCGCGATATAAAAATGCCATTTTCGAAGAACTTCACAGTTCCCCCTTTTTAAAATTCCTGCAACACTCGCCTGGATTGTCGGTGTATAATCTTATTACGGAATGTCGGCAGGTATTCTGTAATCTAGAGCCTATTGCACGTATAATGTTAGCTTAGTGACCAAAAAGCTGAATAAACGTCTACAGTAATTTTAAGAATAAAGTTAGCATTCTCCTATAATAACAGCTTATTTCCCTGGCATATGCCTATCTGTGCAAAAAGGATTCTCTCCTTTTTACAGCAAGATCTTGCCTAAAAATAAATTGTACGCCAATAAGCAGAGCATAGATTATGAATAATGTGTATTATAAAATATATACTTTTATGAGATACTTTAGTTGAAAAGTAAGACTATCAATTACTGAGAAACACACATAAAGTGGTTCCATAAATGCTTTACTGCTTTAAATAGCTCTCCTGATAAAATATCCACGCTATTGCAATGTTTTATCTCTGTAATATCTCCATCATCCCCTCTTTGTTCATTTAGTATCAAATTAAAACTGATAATAGTTTTGCTTAAACAAGCAGTACTTATGAGCCCTCCGTAGACTCAACTACTAAATGCGATGGTGAATACAGTCTAATATGTCCATAACGTGTTTATTTTTACAGTTTATACTAACGACTGGATAGCGAGCTTTTGAAATAGATGTTAGTATTAACTTTATAAAGTTATAAGTATGTACTTGCCATTTTTGAGATGTTTTTGTAGCTGGAAAGTACACGCTCCAGGTCATTTCTGAATTTGGAAAGCTGCCAGGATTTATACAATGAGTTTCTTCATAAGAAATGCCATAGTTTTCACATTTGTCCGCAAGTATAATCTGTTATGATATTAGCTGCCGTTTCACATTAAAATGATTACTTACAGCATGAGGGAGTGGAAACAGTCTTAGTGCATGATCGAATCCCCAATAGACTGGTTTTACAGATAAAGGTAAAGGACAGAGGTGACCTTGATCAAGGATAGTTCTGACAAGCTATTATAAATAAAATTAGAGACATATGAAGAAAGGGCGTTGATGTGATCATTACATGTTTTATGCGCTGGTTATCTGCGTTCAAATTAGTAGGTATCAAGGTATTTCTCCATATTTTGTTAAGTAAATCCTCTCTAAATATTACGATATCCTGCGTACAATATCGAATACGACAAGGATTTGTTGTAAAATGAGCCTTTTTCACTTTTTGTCTAATTCTTGTCACAAAGTGTGAAGGAAGGCCTCTCTGCGGTAAGACATTTCCTCCCCATGGATCTCTAGCTCCAGGTACAAACACAAAGTTTGAATGTGTCGCTAACGTTTCAAACTCTGATATTAAGTCTGCTAAAGCATTGAAGTTGTCTTTATACTCTGTTGCTTCAGCTGCTGAATATGTAAATGGTTTGCTGCTAAAGTTTCCTATGAATATAAATGCCAAGGGCACTTGGTTGCTGTATCCTTCAAATATTGTGCGTAGAGCATTCATGACTTTGGGTTGATCCAAGTGTAAATCAGAAATGATAACAAAGAATATGTCCTTGTTCGTTTGCTCCTCTTCTTTAAGTATACTCTGTAATATAGTTAAAAAAGGGAATATATACATTGAATAGATTTACATTACTTCATCTATGAGAGGCCTTGGTAACCCAAGGAAATCCACATGGCTTAATAGAACACTATACAGTAAAATGTTGATTAAATAGAATTTTTATATAGATATATGATAAATTCTTACTCTGTCAAGTTACGTGCTTCTGCAGGCGGTAAACTGATTTCGGTAACATGAAAGACATGATCTTCCCCATAGATGCCTTCTGCCAGTACAAATATACCGTCTGTAAATAAGCCATATTCATATTTCTGATAATGGTGTGAGCCTTTTTATTGATTATTGTATTTGTTGTTTCCTTACAGTTTTACTTATATCCAATTCAATATGTGCATCATCATCTTCCAAATACAGTTTTCCTTCCTCGATCTGTGTCAACATGCCAAAGAGGACAAATTCACCTCCATCATGACCAATCAAGCTTTTGATGGGCGTAATCTAATAATAGATGAATATATGTCTAATAACAGACAATGTATGTACCTTAATAAACGATGATGAGTCCCCCGCCATATCGGTTGGGCAAAACATTTCATTTCGCAATACTCGTTGCTTTGTCAACAGTAGCCTCTCTCTAAACATTTCACCCTTTGACTTTGGATCAGATAAAAGTCTACAAGGTTCTCTAGATTTTCGAAATGTTCTGGTATAATCGTCATATATAAGCTTTGGCATATCGAAAGCACCCACCACATGAAAATGCTGTGCTACGTCGACTGTCTCTTGAGATATCTGAGTTGTCTGGGAGGATGATACACTGGGTGATAGGATCATACTCGAACCATCACCTAGCGACATATCTCTCAGTGACTCATTTATTTCTTCTTCTTCTTCTGCACGTTGAAAAGGGGTTGTGGCTGTAGTCATAAGGGCTGATGTCTGCATCAGCGCATTCACTTCTTCCAGTACTGCTCTATTAATAATGAGAGTTTGTTCGTCTAAATAAAGTAAGAAAAAGTTTATCAAGTACATGTAAAGACAATACCATTATATCTCTTCTTGTATGTCTTTACTATTCGCTCAATCGTGTCTGCAATATCTGGTTCTCGAGCCAATAGCTGCTCGAGGTATTTTGCTGCATCGCTTTGGACAACGAGACCATACTTCTTTGTGAATAAGTTGTGAATGAATTTCCTGATTTTAACTTTGGAATTTATTTGCATGTCAATAAAAGAATCAAAAAAAGGGTAACGCGAATATTTTTTATTGTTAAATTCAGACGCGTTCAATCGTGTATCTCCGATGGTTTTCATCAAAGAGTTTGATTTTAGTACATCACTCTTCAATGGGATTTAAGAAAGGAGAAGGGTGAAAACAAAGGCTCGTATCCTCTTTCGTTAATCGCATCCACAGCAAAAATAGAATGAGAGATTCTGCGATTATTCATGACAATAAAAAATTCATAGTTTTTATGTTTGTTGAGAACCTCCATGACAGCTTTAACAAGTTGATAATGTGATAAGCCGTTGTATTTTTGTAAGGCGCTTTTTCTTGCTCTCTTTGTCCACACTGGCTTTTTTAGGGCTTGGCTGTGTAAATTCTTTCTCTATTCAACATCGCCTCTCTTCAGTGACTCGGCTTTTGAAAAGTTAATCGTGTCAAAGGGTGAGATACAGCCAATAAAGCTTATATTTACTCCTTTTCGATTGTGTATTTTTAGATTAGCTGAATCTTCAACCTTTGACCAAGCTTGGCCTTTTATCGCTTGAATGTGGGACATGCTTTGCAATCAAGCATATTCTTGCAAAAAATGTGTTCTGCGGCTTTAGATCTTTCTTTCTGCAATTGTTACGGAATTTCAAAGTACTTCACCTGTATCTGTCATTAAGTTGAATGATTGATATATATGGTATATCAAGAGAAAAGTAGTAGCTATTTCTTGCACAATGTTTTATATTATCAAAAAGATAGGTCAATGAGGCCCTTTAATTTGATAAAATCAAGCTCTCGTTCAAAAGGCGTTTTCAATAAGAGTATCTATAGTCAATGATTTGAAAGCATACTACATAACTTGTATCTACATGCTTGATGAATTTACTTGTGGTTGATTATGATTCTAATTCATTTGTCAACAACATCATATTGTCAAAGGGGATATCGTTGGGGACCTAACTTGTGGATTTATTCCTGGCCAACACTACATGCTACGGGTGTTTCCCTTGGGGTGTTACATGTGCAGTTACTACAATTTCACACTACTAAAGTCGCTATCTAACGCACGGATGTCTATTCCTTGATATGAAATACGATGTCATCATAATTATACGCAAATGATCTTGGTTCTTTGTTGATAGAACTGACAACAGAAAAATAAAAATAAAAAAAATTAAAAAAAAAAAAACAAATCAAGATGGTGAAAAGCTTTGTTGGATTACATCACAGGAAGTTTCTGGAGGCAGCGCACATTGCATAAGTCTAACTTCTAGTGTATTTTTGGTGCATTTAGTATCGACCATACAAATAAGAACAGAAAGAAAAGAAAAGAAGAAGGAAAAGCGTAAAAAGAATGGCCAGACTATACATGATAATAAATGAACGGCGATAGCAGAAAAAAAGCCTACAAGATGGAAAAACTTCAAATTCAAGCCTTCTGTCGATGTGCCTCTCGTTGTATTTGGAGACGGGATAAAGAATTCAGATACTGCTAGAATGAAAGGCAATGAATCAGATGCCACAGCAATACTTGAGAGAAAAATTAAGCTTAGATCGTGAAACTTTCAAGTTGTTATTTTCAGTATTGATGGGTTTAAAACGTCAAAAGTATGCATTTACTGTAAGCAAACGAGCCTGAAAGCAAGGAAGCTTTGGAATGGCAGATACAACAACAGTATTCTGGATTGTAAAAATTGCTGTATACGTTGGAATAGAGATGTCAGTGCAAGTAAGAACATGTTGGACATTTCACAGAATATCTGGGAAGAAAAGAAAGACCTTCTGTCTTTCAAAGAGCAATTGCCGTAGAGGAAACGGTTTCGCTGGAAATAACGATTTGGATATTCACCGGTATATTGTAATTTGTCCAGTTAAGCGGAATATATTC